AAAAAAAAAAAAAAAAAAAAAAAAAAAAAAAAAAAAAAATAAAAAAAATAAAAAATGCATTCTCGATTCGATAGTATTTTCCGATAACATTTATATTTTATCTTTTCGGATTTTTTCCTGTAAAAATCGTAAGCCTCTCTCTCAAAATCTTCTACAGATGTCTTTTTGTAGCTATTTGTGTCAATCACGTTTTTCTGGGGTGGAGTGATACTTCTGAACATTTACCCAGAGTTTTTCATCTACATAGATGAAATAGTTTACTTGGATTAACCGATTTTTGGTGAGATATAAACGATTCAAAAATTCTAATTGAAATTAGCAGAATTATTTTATTTATCAAAAATCTTGACAATTCCGACGGAATTCTGATAACTACAACCATAATTTCTGCATCGTTTATGCACTGAGAAAAAAATATTCGAAAATTTGTTCATGGAATATAAAAAGTTTACTTTTGTGAATAAACTTTATATCCCACAAGCAAATTTTCAAGTACTTTTTCCCAGTATATTTTGCCAGAAATTGATTGATCCAACCAAATTTTTTTTCTATAAAATATGTGATATTTGAGGTAAAAGTATTAATTCCCGGACACCTGGGCATTCTTACTGTTTTGGTCTTTAAATGTGCGAGTATTTAAACGTTCAATATAAAAAAGGTACATATACATAAATTATATATGTTGAAATATTTTCATATGTAGAGACAAAAAGGATAAAAATGTCTAGAGGTACGTGTGCGAAATTAGTACTTTCTTCTTATTACCAAGCAACAGAAAATTCTTATGTTACACTAATAGAATTGTTCTTTCTCGTGTATACGGTGCGTGCACATTATATGTATTCGTAGATTATGTTCGAAAAGCCAAGCGATGATCAACGAATTGAAAAAGAAATTGCCGATGCAGGAGCTAAAACCAGGTCAAACGTAAGCGCGTGGATAATAGCGCGTAATTGTGTTACTGGTGCTGCGCGGCGTGACGTAATTTCGTTTGTCCGGCGTGTAACGACCGTTCGCCGACTCGAATATCGCGAGGAAGCGGCGTTCGCGATCGATTCGCGTCTATAAGAGAGATACGTGCCGCCACTCGTGTCGTGCGTCCCCGAGCTTTAAAACGGCGAAAGAGAGCACGCGGTAAGACGCGGTTAATCGCTTCCACAGTGTGTAATAAGGTTAAGTTCGTACAAGCGTGGCGCGGAAACGCCCGAACACCACCGGAGCCGACGTCGGCCGATCAGAGTCGAGTGCGACCGAGGATGACGACGACGACGACAACGCGGGAGTCGAGTGCGCGCGCGTTTATCCGTAAACGGCTGAGCTTTTGATGTGCGTAGAGATGTGAAATTACCGTCACAGATTCAAAGTGACGATTACTTACAGTAAAATTACGGTGAGATAGTAACTTATTGGTAATTTTGATGAAATTCGTTATTTTTGATAGTTTCATGCAGAAATACATTCATTTTTTTCCGCACTAATGCATGAAATAAAACAACATTTTTCTTATATTCTCATTAAATATCTGATAATATCTGAAATGTCTCTCAGATGAAAGAAAGGAAACTATAGTGTATCCCTCGAAAATATATTAAAATTTTCACTTTTTAAAATACTACCAAAAATCTTCAATTATACAGCACAGTTGCTAAGAAGCAAGGCAATAAATGAAAATGTGAGCTTGTAAGATGATATAAAAAATATAGATTGAGACTTTTTTTGCAGTATGTGAAAAATATACATGGAGAGAATATTGTAGCAAAAATTACAATACAGTTTTAGAAGTTTGGGAATAGACTGGCACTATTACGAAAATTATAATAAAATATGATAAAAATGAGATCATAAACATGATAATTTTTACTATATTTATAATCATTTTTATTATGTTTTATTATAATTTCCGTAATGCAATATGCAATAGTCTATTTTCGGACTATTAAAATTGCATTGTAATTTTTACTATAATATTCTTTTTGTGCAGATTGAGACTTTACATTTTTTAAAGTTTCTCTAGTATTATGTAGTTTCCTATGTAGTACTATCTAGTTTCCTAATTACAATATGCTATATATATATATATATATATATATATATATATATA